ATTGCGCCGTCAAATCACTCAACAAATCCGCTTCTTGTTTCTTCTTTTGCGCTCTAGTGACCATCGGGGCGGCTAGCTGTTTGGTTGAAACAATCGGCCGTATCACTTCCTGACGAACACTGTTATATTGAGGCAGTCTAGACAAAGCATCTGCCATAAAATTCCTCCCGCCCCAGGATGTACTTCAGTGAAAAGTTGAACCGCTTAAAATACTGGGCCCACTGAACTTGTTTAGGAGACAGTTTTCGAGGCGTTTTTAAGGCCTCCAAATTCTTATGGTCAGTCCATACCTCAAACGGGTGTTTCGCTCCTTCCAAGAAATGTCTCCATGTCAACAGAGCCCAGCGAACTGCAAAAGCTTCCTTTTCCCAGATGGCCCACCTCCTCTTGGTTTCAGTCAGTTTACGGGAGGTGTAGGCACAGGGTTGTAGAGTTCCCTTTTCATTGATTTGAAGTAAGACCGCTCCAACTGCCACATCGCTTGCATCGGCTTGGATCACGAACGGGGCATCCATGTCCGGGTGCTTTAGCACTGGTTCTGCAGCAAACAGTCGCTTCAGCTTTTCAAAGGCGGCTTGGCATTCCATGGACCACTCCAGCGGTTTGCTAGGCTTTGGTTTCACCTCCCCCTTGGTTTTTAAGAGATTGGTGATAGGCATTGCTATCTTAGCAAAAGACGGGATGAATTGCCGGTAAAAGTTGGCAAATCCTAAGAAGCTTTGAAGCTGTTTTCAGTTGTGCGGTGGAGCCCACTCCAACACAGCCCGTACCTTCCCTGGATCCATTTCAATGCCCTCGTGCGAAATGCGATACCCCAAGTAGTTGATCTTCTCTTGATGGAACTCACATTTGGACAGTTTAGCTTACAATTTAGCGGCTTGCAGTTTCTGTACCACTGAACGCACCAGTCTCACATGTTCATCCCGAGTTTCTGTGTAGATAAGGATGTCACAAGGTAAACCAAAACCCCCTTGTATAAATCTTCGTGTAGCACCTGATTGATCATCTGTATGAATATGGCTGGAGCCCCCTGTAGGCCAAAGGGGATAACATTGAACTGGAAACAACCCATCGGGCAATTAAAAGTGGTTTTCCACTCATCCCCTTCTTTAATTTGGATTCGGTAATACGCTTCTCTCAAGTCCAGCTTTGTGAAAATTTTCCCTTTAGCCAGGTGGGCTAACATGTCCTTCATCAGGGGGAGGGGGTACACGTTTTCCACAGAAATTGCGTTCAGGTTTCTATAGTGCACTACCAAACGCTTGGAGCCATCTTTCTTTTCACGGAACAACACTGGGGCTGCTACCCAAGGTCTAGTGGGTTGGATGAAACCACGTTTCAAATTTTTATCGATAAACGATCTCAGCTCTTCCAATTCCCGTGGTGTCATTGAATATAACTTCAGTTTCGGGAGAGTCACCCCAGGCAGAATTTCAATAGCACAATCTGTTGACCGATGAGGGGGAAGCTCATCTGAAGCCTTTTCGCTGAACGCTTCTTTTAAGTCTCAATATTCTTTTGGAATTTTTTCCTCCCCCTCCAAGTTTTCGGTACCTGTGGAGGCTAGCTCAACTGGGTTCTGAAACTTCTGCTGGGATCGCCCCTCCCCTTCCGGTCGCTGATTGGTGCGTATGCGCAACGACCCTTTCCTCCAGTTCACATGGGGATTCCACTTGCGGAGCCAGGGCAATCCTAGTATTAACGGTTGCTCCATTCCAGGGGCCACAATAAAACACAAAGTCTCTTTATGCTCCCCCATGGTCATCTCTAGGGGTTCCTTTATGAAGCGTGCAGGGCAACCCCCGCCACTGATCCATCCAATTGGCAAAAGGCTATGGGAATTTCTAAAGTTCTCAGTCTGATGCCCATCTCCTCAACTACTTTCATGTTGATTACACATCTCGTGCACCCAGAGTCTAGCAAGGCTAACATCTCCCCTTCGGTCCCTGAAGTGGGTACCCTTAATTTTACTGGAATGGTCATGGGGCCCTTGTTTGGACTTACCAGGAAGTCGTCTTCCGAGTCGGAATCACTCTTTTCAAGGAAAGTCGGAGGTCCCAGCTCCTCTCCTGCCGGAGGGGTGACCTCTACAACCTCCCCCATCTTTAGCGCAGTTTCGCGAGGCTTGGCTCAGGGATTTTCAGGTTTCCTTCCTCCTCTCTGCGCCCCCTTTGGATCCAGCTTGACCCTGCAGTCCACAATCCGGTGGCCCTCCTTCCCACATCGAAAACAGGCAGTGGATTTGGGTCTTGCCATCACTCCTCCCTTCGGAGGCTTAGGGGCCTCTTGGAAGCGTGGGGGGGGCGGCTTGCTCCATCCAGAGCCCCCCCTGCATCTGCTTCGGGTCAAATCTATTTCCACTTCTTCTGCCAGCAAGTACCACAGCTGCAGTTCATTGGGGTCCCTTCTGGAAATACACATCTGGTATACGTCTTCATTTAGACCATCTTTGTAGGCTTCTATCAGGGCTCCCTGGGACCAGCCTTGGATATGGCATGCCAGCTGTCTAAACTCTTGGGTGTAGTGGGCCACTGACCTCCTCCCTTGATTTATGGTTTTCATCCTGATTCTGGACTTTCGCTCCGCTAGTGGGTCCTCAAATCTTGCCCACAGCGCAGTCATGAATACGTTATAGTTCAGCAGTTGGGGGGAGTTATCATTATACAAAGTCACCATCCACTCTGCAGCTATTCCCTCCAGGGCCCTGGTAACACATCTAACTTTGGCTGCTTCTGAGGTGAACTCTTCCCTGTATTCTTCCATATAGCTCCAAACTTGTGCTAGGAAGAAACCCAAGTCTTTAGGATTTCCCCCAAATTTCACTTCTAACGGAGGCAGCTTGAGGACTCTGCGTCTTCTAGGGATCACACCTCCCGCTGGGGGCCCTGGGGCTGCAGCTGGCTGCTGCGCTGGCACAGGCTGAATTATGGGGGTGGGGGCAGCTTGGCTGCCTCTGGCTGAACTTGCTCCCCCTTCCTCTTCATACCTTGGAGCGACGTGGGGCTGTCCGAAAGCTTCATTGAGGAGCTGCCTGGCTTGATCCAGTAACAATTCTCTCTTCTCCCTCTCTTGCCATGGCTCCTCTCTCCCACGCCATCGGGAAATGGTGATTCCAGGAAGGGGGGGGGCTCTTCGGGATCCCTCCAGCCAACACCCAACGACCATCTGGGCTTCTCAGCTGGAACCTCTTCCAGAGTAAGGTCGGCTAGCAATTCAGCTGCTGGCACCTCCGGTATCAGCAACGATTGCCCCCCCCCCCCCCAGCTCCCAGATCCTCCTGATCACTAGCTGGAGATGACATGATATCAAACCCCTTCGGAAGAAAACTGGATATTTTCTCCGGGTGGGCTGGTGATGAGATTCAGAATAATGTCAGTCTGTGCTCCATTCAAAATCCAAGAAAGAAATACTTAGACTCCATAGATTAGAGAAAATAATTCTTTTACTGAAAAATGAAATGGTAGCATCAGGTAAAATTCTGAATCTGAGAAATTAGGCGCGCAGATCACATATACAAAGTGATGGAATTGTTCCCACCCCCCATAGTTCAAAAGATTCTTCCAATTAAAAGTTCTGGATATGATCATGTGGACATCTTCAGGTGGTGATGAGGCCTATGTCCGTTGACCTTGGCATATTTTGATAAAGATTTGCAGCTGCGCAGAGAAAAGAAAGCTAACCGAGAAATAGAAACCTAAAAGCAGGAATTTATACTCCCCCCGCACTCCTCATTTACACAACACAAGAATTTAACACCTCCAGCTCTCTTCCCAGACAATTCCCCCCTCCTCCCCCCGTTACTTATGGCAGCCAAAAGATGCAAAGCAGTAGCAGAAGATCTTGAAGGCTGACATGTGCCTCTAGGAAGTTGAGCTCCTATTTTTAATTTTAATTTTTACAGCACTATTTTTTCTTAATTTTAATTTTCCCAATTTTTAATTGGATTGAGGTAAAGAAGAACCTGAAGATTGATTATTGGTAGTACAAGCTATTTTTCCCTTTCTTCAAACAGATTCCTGTTTAAGCTGAAATGAGGAAGACAACTGCCACGGGCTCATCAATCCGTACATCTTCTTCCCCACTTGGTGGTCAACGATCAATACATACAATGTTGCAACAGGAGAAGGAAAGAGAAAAAGAGAAGGAAAAAGAAAAGGAAGTCACACTACAAATGGTAATGCAAGCGATACAAAGAACAGAAGATAGAACAGTGAAAACAGATGAAAAAAAAATGAGTCTATACAACGAAAGATGAAAAATGAAGAAAGATTCCAAAAGATAGAAGAAAAAGGTGACCAGAGAGATAAGAAAAATGGTGAAATTGATAGTTGATTGTCAGTTGTCGAACAAGACAAAGGAAGTGGAACACTGGCATGGGATATAGACCAGGCAGATTTTTACCTCAGATTCCAAAACATCGTGGAAGAAAAGGGGGAGAACCTGGCTGAAATAATGACAGAAATTCTGGCATGTGCCTTGGAGATATCCAAGGAGAAAATGAGGGATGGAATAGATTAAGTGTTCCGAGTTTATACAAGATATTCAATGAGAAATAAACTACCCAGAGAAGTCCACAACTGCACCAGAAAATTGAAGAATTGGAATATGACAACCTATGTATCATGGGAGATTTTAATGCAATAGTAGAAACGGATTTGGATTACTCAACACAGAATCCCAACCCCAAAAATAGAAAAATACTTCTGAAATCCTTCTTTTTTAAAAAAAAAGAAAAAGAAAACTTTATTAGAGATTAAAAAAGAAAAACACTATGTACAATACATTGAATACAACCTTACGTTGTAGACAAAATCTATATATACAAATACATAATCAATAAACATATAAAACATATGCTTCTAATCAACTAAGACGGTGTACTTTTTTCTGGGTAATAATTTTACTACTATTCGTTTCTTATTTGGTAAACATTCTTAATTTAACGACTCCATTCATCAAAACATATCTTTTAATTTCCCGTTTTTTTTTCTTTAATCCACTTATACCATTTATCCCAAGCTGTAATATATCTTGAGTCTTCCTTATTCCTAAGTTTTTGTGTGAGTAGGTCCATTTCAGCGCAGTCAAGTATTTTCTGAGTAATCAAATTATTTGTTGGCATTTGTTCGCCCTTCCAACATTGTGCCAACACAATTGTTGCCACTGTGATTATATGGAGAATTAAATATTTCATTTCATTTGCATAGTCCCCTTTTAACATTCCCAACAAAAATATTTCAGGTTTGAATTCTAATTGAATACTTGTAATTTCTTTTTTTTAAAAAAAAAAAGTTTTTTATTTTAACAACAAAACAACATAGACATACCACATAAAACATAAAAATATCATCCTTCTTCATAAATTTACAAACAGTGCATCGGTTTGTTTACCACTTTTTTTTTGTGCATCCATTTCCTAGTCACTAATATAATTATATTACATAATAGCTCATATTATCAATCAATAATTGTATAACCTAATATCATCACTAAAAAAATCATTGATCTATAATTTTGTTAATTCATATTTTAACGAGATAACTATAGTTTACTTAGTTTATTTTGCAATAAAAATCATACCAAATCTATCTTGATAATGTTTTATAAATATAATATAAAAAAAAAGAAAAAAAAATTTTTATGCTAAATCTGAATGTTCTATTATTATGTTTTATTATCTAACCATTGATAAAAAAGATCCCAAACTTCATAAAATTGTTTATCTTCTTGTTCTCTAATTTCAAATGTCAATTTACTCATTTCAGCACAATCCAATATTTTCTTAATAATTTCTTCCTCTGATGGAGTTTTCTCACTCTTCCAGTTTTTAGCAAATACAATCCTAGCCGCTGTTAATATATTTACAATCAAATACTTCAAATTTTTATTATATATATCAGGTAAGATTCCCAATAAAAAAATCTCTGGTTTCAAGTCTGTATGTGTCTTTGTCATTTTTTCCAACCATATGCGAATCAGTCCAGTATTTTCTAGCGTCCTCACAAGTCCACCACATATGGTAGTATGAGCCAGGTATCTGATGACATTTCCAGCACTTTTCAGATTTGTTCTTAAACATTCTTGCAATTCTTGTCGGGGGAAAATGCCACCTGTAAAACATCTTATACAAGTTTTCTTTATAAGCTGTTGACATTGTCATTTTATAATTTTGAGACCACAGTTTTTCCCATTTCTCCAAATCAATCCCATATCCAAAATTCTTCCCCCAAACAATCATCGTTTCTTTAACTTTTTCCTCCTCTAATAAAATTTCCAACAAATAACTGTATAATTTTTTAATCACTTTTTCATCAGTACCTGTCAAGATCCTGTCTAAATCAGTCAATTTATCATAAAATCCCTCCACTTTAGAATCTATAAGATACCTTGAATGTATTTGCGCATATGAAAACCAATTCATCTTTATGCCTCGTTCTTCTAGTTTTTGCATTGTTTTAAGTTCACTCTTTTCATCCAATATTTCCCCTGTTTGTTCCTTCTCATATATTATAGGATAAGAAAAGGCTTCAGTAGTTGATAACCAGACTGGGATTTTCAAATGACATTTTCTCTTAATTTTCTCCCAATTCAACCATAAAGACTCCCTTATATAATGCCTTCTAAAATAGCCCTGCGATTTAGTTCCCTTATACCACAGAAAAGCATGCCATCCCAGTAATAAATCATGCCCTTCTAATGTCAACAATCTAGTCTTTCTTAATGTTATCCAATCTTTAACCCACATTAAATTTGCAGCTTGGTAGTACAACTCCCAATTCGGAAGGCCAAATCCTCCTCTAATTCTAGCATCTTGTAGAAGTTTTAATTTTATTCTGGCTTTCTTACCTTGCCATATAAACTTCAACACAATTTTATTTAATTCTTCAAAGTAATCTTTACCAAGCCTGATTGGTATGGTTTGGAACAAATATAAAATTCTGGGTAAAATATTCAATAAATCTGCCAGTTCATCTCTTTGTTTTAATAACATATTCTTTGTCAAGATCTTTGTTTTATCTTTGTTTATTTTCAGACCCGCCATCTCACCATACATCTCTATCTTTTCCAGTAGCTTTAAAGCTGTTCCTAGAGGATCTTCCAAAATAAAAACCAAAACATCCGCAAAGGCTTGCAATTTAAATTCCTCCTCCTTAATTTTCATTCCTTTTATATTTGGATCCTCTCTAATGTTTCTATTCAGCACTTCCAAAGTCAATACAAATAACAAAGGTGATAATGGGCAACCTTGTCTTGTGCCTTTTCTTATATTAATAGAATCTGTAAAATCTCCCTCTATCATCACTCTCGCCGTTTGTTTGTCATATATGGCTTCTATTGCTTGAATAAATTTTCTAGCAAAGCCCATCTGTTCCAATAACCAAAACATGAATCTCCAGTTCACATTATCAAATGCCTTTTGGGCATCTAAAAATATCAAAAGCCATTTGTTTTTCAGGATGCGCCTCGTAATATTCCAAGGTGTCCAGAATTACCCTCATATTATCCCTAATTTGTCTCTTTGGCAGGAATCCATTCTGGTCAGGATGAATAAAGTTATTTAGGTATCTTTTGAGCCTTTCTGCCAAGATGGAAGCAAAAATTTTATAATCTGCATTCAGTAAAGAAATAGGTCTATAGTTCTTAATTTGTGATGGATCGGCCCCTTCTTTTGGAATAAGTGTGATATAAGCTTCTGATCATGTTTTGGGTATTTTCTTATTTAACATGGCTTCATTCATAACTTCTAACAGTGGAGTGCTCAACGATTCTTGTAATGTTTTATAAAATTCTGCCGGGAGCCCGTCTGGGCCTGGTGCTTTTCCATTATTCTGCCTATTAAATGCTTCCATTAATTCCATCATTGTTATAGTACTTTCTAACATTTTTTCAGTCTCTTCAGATATCTTAGGTAGGTTAGCATTTTGTAGATAAAGCTTAATTCTTTCCTTATCAAAATCCTCCTGCTTATATAATTGTCCATAAAAGTCTCAGATAATTGTCTTTTTCTCCTTATTACCATAACACATTTGGCCTTGATCATCTATTAACTGTACTATTTTCCTAGATTCTTTCTCCTTTCTCAATTTGTATGCTAGCCATCTACCTGGTTTGTTTGCATCTTCAAAATAGTTCTGTGCCAATTCTTCTTTCTCTGCCTGACCCATCTTATGTTTAATTATATCCATTTTGAATTTAATATCTTTTTTCTGTGGCATATTCTGCAATTCTTTTTCCAGTTTTTTATAATCATCTTCTAAAGCTTTAATAGTTTGCCTCTTCCTAATATTCTTTTTCTTTGTATAATCCATCATTAATCCTCTCGCATATGCCTTCATTGTATCCCAAACATTCTGCATTGAAGTATCTTCTTTTTTATTTTCACTGAAAAAGAAAGCCAATTCTTTGCCCATCCATTGTATAAAGTCTTTTTCCTTTAAGATAGCGTTGTTTAATGTCCATCTAGATCTTCTTCTTTGTCCTTTCCATTTAATTGTCATTGGATTATGGTCTGCCCATATACCCGTTTCTATATTTATTTCTTGAATGTTAGATATTAGTTCTGATGAAGTCCAAATCATATCTATTCTGGACCATGATAAATGTCTATTTGAATAAAAAGTATATTGCTGGGTTTTACCATTTCTTTCTCTCCATATATCTTTTAAATTTAATTCATCTACCATTTTAAAAAAGGATTTAGGGAGAGTCTTTCTATTTTGTTTTAATGCTATCGCTGTATAGTCCAATTTATTATCTACAATTCCATTAAAATCTCCCATCATAAGTATATTGACATGGTCCAGTCCAATTGATTTCATATGTAACTTTTTATAAAATTCTTCTTGTTTATCGTTCGGAGCATAAATTGCAACAAGCAGTGTTTTTATATTGTTATCCACTATTTCAACCATTAATACTCTTCCGTCTTCATCAGTATAAATCAATTTTGCTGCAATAGTTTCTTTAATGTACAGGACCACTCCTCTTTTCTTACAGTTAGTCAAGGAAGTAAAAATTTTCCCCAGTTTTGGTCATACCAATAATCGTTGATGTTGTTTTTTAATATGTACTTCTTGTAGGCAAATTATATCAAGTTTTAACTTCTCTAATTTATGAAAGATTTTTCTTCTTTTAATAGCTGAGTTCAATCCATTTATATTCATAGAAATCCATTTTTTTTCCTCCATGGTTATGTTTTGTATTTAGGTCTAACAGTTCTTGTAGATCTTACTTCACGTTGTTCTTTGGTCTCCATTTGTCCACCTACCGCACCTTCTTCTTTCCCCATTCCCATCTGGTCTTCTTGAGGTTCAGTTGAGATGGTCTCTTTTTCTGTCTCTATTTCTCTTCTTCCAAAAAATTCATTGTAGAATGTTTCTGCTTTCTCAATTGAGTCGATTCTGTGTCTCTGTTCTTGCCATATAAACATTAATCCTTCTGGGATCAACCATCTATAATTCACCTCTTTTTCCAATAACTTTTTGGTCAAAAATCGATATTCTCTTCTCATCTCTCACTCTTCTGGGCACTTGTTTTAAAACCACAATCTCTTTGTCTTTGTATTTCAACACCTTATCTCTTGCCACTTGTAATATTTGTGTTTTAATAGTCTTTTTAGTAAATCTGACATGAACCTCTCTTGGTAGCTTATTCCTCATCGCATATCTTGTGAAGACACAGTATATCTCATCTACTCCGTCCATCATCTTTTCCTCTGTTATCTCCAAAGCTCCAGCCAGAATTTCTATCATTACAGCCGCCAAATCTTGTCCTTTTTCTTCCTCTATATTTTGAAATCTGAGATAAAATTCTGACCTATCCATCTCCCACTTCAACATCCCAGTTATATCTTGTTGCACCGTTGTTAATTTGCTAACAATATTTCCAATTGTCTCATCTCTTTGTTTGTCTTTCTCCTCAATTTTTTGGAGTCTCTCCTCATGTTTCGCCATCATTTGTTGAAAATTTTCAATTTTTTCGTCAGTCTTTGCAATATTCGTTTTGATTTCTTGTATTCCTTGTATAATCGTCGTTAGGTCCATTTGTACTTTATCTTGCTTCGCCATTATTGATAGCCGTCCTCCAGTTGATGCAGAAGCAGAAGCAGAAGTTGAACTGCCAGAAGGTAAAGTTTTCTTACTCATTTGAGTAACTCAGAATCTTTAAGCTCCTTTAATCCACTTAATAAGGTAGCCAATTATAATCCAATTGGGAAGAAGAAAAACATAAAAAAGAAAAGCCAATAAAATTCAATTCAATTCAATTAGTGACA